AAATAACTAAATAAATCCCGTTTCGACTGTCCTTCAATTGGAGAAAACTCCCCACGCGCCCCTCGGGCGCGGCAAAAAGGAGGTGCGACACCTAAGAATATTGAAATTTAGGGATTTAGACCTCAAATTGAGGTCGGATTCCAAAACCAATTATTTATCCGGGCTCGGGGACGAATGGGTAATCGGATTTTGTTCCGAATTTCGGGTTTGGACCAAGCGGGTCCGGGATCGATTTTTGACTTTTTGGGAAAATCATTGGAAAACCTATTTTCATTCATTAGAATTGACTCATTTAGCATTTACTAATATTATTAAGTAAATTGTGACTAGATATAAGCGGATTGGTGGTGGAAACAAGAGGTAAAGCGGTAGTTGAGGGTTGAATTGTGTTCGTGGCATTGAGGTAAGTGTTTGGTCTAACCTTAGCTTGAGGGATTCGGAGTTGAGTCTTATTTTCTATGTGTTAATTGTTGAGTACGACGTATAGGCATGGTGACAAGTATCTATATGTCGGTGTCAAGCATGCCCGTGAGTCTTATACTATGATTAATGTGACTCTATTTCGTATTATTCATGCTTTATATGATGATTTCTATTGTTGAACAAGGCTTGTGAAAGTATTATTGGCAATTGAATATTTTAGAGCGTTGGCTCAAGTTGAGAATTGAGTTGTAAAGTAAATGTGGAAAAGAGAAGAGGTTTATGATATTGTGTCCCTTGCCGGGATGTTATTGTTTTTTATATTATCTCTCTTGCCGGGATGTTATTACTCATGATATTATTTGCCTTGCTGGGATATTGTTGTTATGCTATTATTCCCTTGATGGGATTTTATTATGATATTATTGATTCCCTTGCGCAAATTGCTTTGTGATTGTTTCTTGGGTGAGAAAGAGTGTAAAGCACGAGGGTAATGTCGTGCATGATTTTGAGAGTATTAATGCACGAAGGGTGATGTTGTGCCGATATTGTGAGGTAAAAGCACGAAAAGTGATGTCGTGCCGCACGATGTACAATGTCATGCCATGATATGAGTGATAATGCACGAAGGATAATTATGTGCCATGATTATGTGAGGTAAAAGCACGAAGGGTGATGCCGTACCGATTATATTGATTCTTATGGTGAGGACGAGAGTAAAAGCATGAAGGGTGATGCCGTGCACTTGTCTTTGATTTTTTGATTCTTGCTGATAATTGAATTATGGTGTTCTTTACATTTATCTATTGGTTTTCTGTTGTTACTTGATGTTCCCCGCAACATGTTTCCCCGTCATATCCTTAACTGTAAATTTCTACCTTTATTTTTTCGCTGTATATGATTTAACTGCACAGGTTTATTTGGTAGTCTTGTCCTAGCCTCGTCACTACTTCGCCGAGATTAGGCTAGGCACTTACTAGCACATGAGGTCGGTTGTGTTGATACTACACTCTGCACTGTGTGCAGATCCCGGTGCTGCAGTTTTCGGACCGTAGTGAGGTTGTTGCCTTCAGTCCATCAGGCAATCGGAGGTAGTCGCAGGCGTCCGCAGGCCTTGCCGTCCCCTTCCTATCTAGTTTTTCTTCTGTTTTTTATTATTTCAAAGACAGATATGTATCCATTTTGTTCGGACCCTATTTGTAGTATTCATAGACAGTCTGTGAAATTGTAACACCAGTTCTGGGTAGCTTATGTTTATGGATTTGTATCGATATTATTTTTAATTGTTATGTTTCGTTCTTCCGCTTTATTATTTTCGCTGGTTATGAAATGTTAACTCACAATTGTTAAGTGATTAAAAATAAAAAGAATTAAATAATTGGAATAATTGGCTTGTCTAGCTTTCACTAGTAGGCGCCATCACGACTCTCGAGGGTGGAAAATCCGGGTCGTGACACATTCACATCCTTAACATGAGAATATCAAATTTGGCAATAATAGCCTTTCAAACTTGTGATGGTGGTTATGTAATTGCTTTTTAGACATTAAGGGTATTTCGGTTCAGACATATATTTAACATATATTATAATGAAAAATTATTATATAATAAATAATATTTGAAATCTTTTTTATCAGTGAATAGCAACTCAAAGAATGTCATCCAGTGAGTGACATTATAGAAATTTTCATGCAATATCTTATTCATGTAAAATAATATATAAATTTTTGCATATGAGTTGTTAATATTAATAATGTAAGAGCTTTATTCATAAATCAGATATTATATTAATTATGCGGATCTTTTTAACCAAAAAGATATTTGTTAATATATGTGATAGACTTATCTGTAGAACAAGTCGAATTTTATTTCTGGAGGTAAAAAAGAGTGAAATTGAGTAATCAAACGTATAAGTTAATAATGTTGGATAATGAGAAAAATAAAAAAATAGAAAAATTCACATATAAGTAATTTTATTGATAGTGATCAGAACTCAAAAATATATTTATACAACTAATGATAAAAGAAAGGTAGAGATTTCAATAAATATTAAATTAAGGTACATAATACAAAATATATATATATGTGTGTAGTTTTTATAGCAAATTCCTAAAAGAATCTATACTTATGCTGTAAATAAATTAAAATTAAAATTTAAAAGATATTTCCTTAATGGAAATCAAGACTAAAATTCTACATGCAAAACTTAAAGAGAACAAAAGAGATACTGAAACTTAATAATATATTTAATACATGTAATATTAAAATAACAATCATAAAATAAATATTACAATAACATTCTTAAAGGATTACAGTACTTTATTTAGACTTTGAATTTACTTGATTTGTAATTCATTGGTACTTAAAGAATTTTCATTACCAAGTAAATAGATAATCATGGTGGTCAATCCATGATTATCAATACCCATCAATGGTGAAGCCACATTCAACCAAGGGGTGTAAAATATATATATATCCCTTGGTAAAAATTCTAGCTCCGCTACTGTATACCACCATAATTATCTATTTAGCAACAAGTAACCGCTCCAAAGTAAGCAAGAGGCATTATATTAGTTTCTAAACAAAATATAATTAACTCCAATAATAATTTCACAAATTGGTACAGGTGACAAATACATGCACCAAAGCTCATACGGCGGACTAGACTTGGACATTTAGCGCTTTTCGCAAACTGACCTAGACGAAATTAAAAGGAAATCAACGAGGCCACCTTATTTTTGATCGTGGTGACAATATTAATATTCCTCGTAGTTGACAAAGAATAAGAGGCTATTATGGTAATGTTTGATTACCCAAATAAAAGAATAAAGTTGCTGTGAAGGAATTAGGCAACTCCATACACCTATGAGTGCACGTTTTCATTTTGGGAAGGATGAGGTGAAATATTGTATTATTATCTTTGTACTCGACTAGCTTGAGTTTTAAATAAAGACTCCCAACTCTAATCGGAAATCGTCTCGTTTGCGGGGTAAGAGAATTAACCACGTCAATCCCAATTAAATGGTATAGTAAAGGGTTAACAAAATTTGATTTCTCACAAGCAATTTGAGCTAATAAGTATGATGGGAAGACCTCGAATCAAAATTGTTACTTATTGGTAAACATTTTCAACGTTGTATAGACATACACTTCTCTTTTTCTCTTTTCTAAGGAAGGGCGAGGGGAGGTTTAATTGTATTACTGTGATGATATATGTGCATTTTTCTGCATTGGTATTGACCCATAAATTGTGCTTCAGTACCATGCTTATGCAGGTAACAGCATTTCAGAACTCCTCGATACGATCGAACCAGTTGACAATGGTTGTACATAGTCCCTTAGTGTCATTTAAGGCAACAGTCTTAACCACTTGCGCAACAGCATCTGCTGGAGTGTATACCGCTCCTACTCGCCATTTTGGTTCCTAACCACCCCCAAAAAAAAAACAATCACATTGTGTTGAAATGAACGAATAACGCAATGTTCACTTATAAGAGCAATTTTCATATTCTATATCAGGATGAGTAAAGGACTGTTCAAGGATAAGGGAGTTTCCATTATCATTGCGTGGTACTATCCTTTTTAACAATTTCAGCTTGAAAATGATGCTAAAATTTGCACTTTTCAGTGGACTATGCTGGTAACAAGTAGAACTGATATCACTCGCAAGAGTCGTATCTCATGTACTTAAGAGTTCTCCTTATTTCTATAGCTAGTTGAAACAAGTGAATAAAGAAAATCACGCAACAATATGCAAGTTACCTGTACGCACGGTGTGATGTGGTTACCAGTTAATGCAATTTTCTCCACCTTTCCACCGAAAGATTCTACTCGGGGCTTTAATGTCTCTTCAAGCCGATCTGTCTCATCGATCGTATCAGAGTCAAACTTCACCTGAAATAAAGGTCAAAACTAACATTGACTTTCAATCAGAAACTACTTTTCTGGATGATAAAAACCATAATATGAATACCAGCAGTGTACGCTTGACGTTGTATGAGTTTTTGAAACACTCAAGATTTTCAGAGGGTGTTGGCTTGAACTCTGATATCCCTTGAGCAAGCTAAAGAAACAACAATCTCATTAGACCGATAACTAAGACCAAAACCATAATATGCTTAAAATTTGGAATGCATGAAGACAGTGTGATTCAACAAGATATATATTATTCAAAACTGTAACATGTAAGGGAGACAATAAATTTTTCAACCAAATTGCAGGATCACCAATAAATAAAATGGACAGAACATACCTCGCCAAATACCGAAGGCAATTGATCAGCAAATTTAGTCAACGAAACAACTGTTTCCGGATCATAGTCAGGGATGATTGTTCCAGCTGTATCAAGTAACACCCTCAACGCATCTCCTACATATTAGGTCATACATATACAGTGAATGATAACTCATTGAAGCTCTTGATCAATCATATTGATACATCACTCACTCCAGTATTTCCAGCATTGCAACATCTGTAACTCTTAAACTTTAATTGAACTTTGCAAAAAACTATAACACAATCATCAAGAAGACTTAAGTATTAAAAAAGGTACAAATTTGAGTGTCTGTAGAAGCTTCTTGCTAATAGCTTAAGTTAATGTTATGGACACGTATCAACATGGTAAGATTTCAAAAGAATATCAGCCTTATTTTTCTTGATTTTCTTGGCCCTAGTTTTCATAAATAATGCTGTCAAAGTTTTGACATAGTAGATGGTAAGATTTAAAATGAAGTTTCCTTCTTATTTTCATACTCGTTGCCTTAATGTCGTGGGTTAGATGTTCATATTATTTCACAAAAGAATAGATCCAACATTTACTAAACTCATTCTCACACTTGTAAGAACACATTAAAGTCCACGCGTGAAACCAAAATCGGGTTACACATACTGGGAGGGTGTTGGGTTATGTAGTATTCCACTCGCTGAACTTAAAAAAAAAAAAGAAAGAAAGAGTTATGTGGTGTGCCACATCGTGTATATAAAGACACCTGAAGGGTTTATAGAAGTCTTGGATTACTTCATCTAGTGGCGTAAGATTTTACGTTGCATGTTTAAATTCTTTCGCATGAATTAATGTGCAAAGTTATTAACTTCTTATGTCAAACATCAACAAGACATCATCAGTATCATTCAGGTTAAGGAAACTATTGTAGTTTCTCAGTAAGAATAGGTCAAGATTTTAGAAGAAGTAGTATCTAAGAACTTACAAAGAAATAATTGAACTTCGCCTAAATCCTTTCTCACATACCTGACCTTCAGTAGGAGGATTTTTTTTTGTTTTGAAACAAGTAGTATCTAAGACCTTACGAAGTTACATGTGTATATATATATATATATATATATAAATAAACAGAAACCAAAACAACATTAAGGCAGGTCAGTACCATATTCACAAGATAAAAAATAATAAAAAACTAGCGGTGTCAGCTAAGGTCACAGTGAGCCTAGCAAATCAACCTAAAGATTCTACCTCCTCCAGAAAATCAGCTAAAGCTCACACTAGGAGGATATTTTTACTTCTGCTTGATCTAAAAAGATTATATCTCTACATCTAATAGCCATTTTAAAAGGAAGTCGTCTGATGCTCCACAAAAAGTGGAATACCAGAAAAGGTAAAAGTGGGTTTTCTTGTATTTTGACACCAAATCACTAGAATCATGTACAGTTTCTAAGATCAACTGGTAGACAGCACATGCGCTTGTCCAATTGCAGGAGAAAAATAGAAAAATGAGAAAGAGAGTAGGAAACAAAAGAGTGTAGTAGGCAACGAAGGGAGAAATTAAATAATATTCACATGTTCCATTGAATTTGACCCACTTTCCTTTTTCCGGTACAAAAAACTTCACCTATTTCTTGAAAATGAAATTTTTTTCTTCCTTGAACAATTTAAACTCATAAACAAATATTAAATCATGTACATTTTTCTAATTAAGTATACCACTTCTAATAATTCAGACAATTTTTTGTACACTTCTGCATCAATCTCAACATAAGAATCAATTTAAACATTTTATTCTTAAGCTCCATATAAGTTAAATTAGGTAGATGGAGCAGCAGTTGCTTGCAAGATTGCTGCATAAAGGAAATAGCAATTGACATCTCTAAACAAGAAAATTAGAATTTAATGTTTCTAGACCCCTCAAACTTATGTTGATCATGTTTTGGAACTCCCTACCAAGAAAGGAAAAACATTATCCAAAACTCTCTTTCAACTTTCATCAACCCCCCNAATTTGGAACTCCGACCTCGACCCCCCGACCCTAACCCCGACCAGCTGAACTCGAAACCCGAACCAAACCCTAAAGCCGACCCTGACCAGAACCTCGACCTCGGCCCCTAACCCCCGACCTGAACCCCCACTGCCATGATCCTCCCCTGCCCCTTACACATTCCGTCTCCCATGGTGTCTGAGTAGCCTATATATTTTCTGCTAACTAACCCAACACCAGAAAATAAGTATGAAAATCACTTATTTTCCAAAAAAATAGTTTCCAAGAAAACATTTTCTGTGGAAAACGTTTGCATTCATAGCAAACACACCCTAACGTCTCTTATAGTTTCATCAGCATGCAATAGAGCTAGAAGAAATCTAATTGGTTGAGGTGATTAATAAAGACAAAGAGCAACGTGCATTGTAATTTGTTTATGACATTAATCATTTTTGCATCACCTCAAATAGATATTATATCTAATTCCCAAATGATTTTAGCTTTGTCCTGGTAAGTTTGTTACTCCGAGATTTTTGTGAAATGGGTATGTCACAATGAAAAGAAGCAAATAAAGTATCTTGAAGCTTACAGCAGCTTTCCTTTTCTTTTTTTTCATTCCCCCTAACAAACTTTTTCATTTTTTCGTTCCCCCTAACAAACTAATATCTGCACTGCCCTTGATAGCTCTGAACCGCTAAGATAGAGCAGGTAATTGTCATGGTTAATTAATTAGATTGAGTAAATAAAATTTCACTTACAAATAGTGAATCTTCACAATCTTACTTGAATGAGAGCTATAGTTTCAGCACAACATACTACAAATTTGCAGAAAATCACTACTATGGTTTCTAGGGGAAATTAATAATAGAGAAGCAGTTAGATTGATCTACCTGAAGCGGATTGAGCCATTGAATATACTGGAGATATAACAGGAACCATCTGGCCAACAAGAAGACCTAACTGCAAAATGGGATAAAAACCTCAAGAAATGATGCATTTTGGCAGCAAATTGTTCTATGGAGAAAATAAAAGCTGAACTTGAAGTTTCTAGAAAAACAAATTGTTGCAAGATTTCATGCTTCTTTCAAAAAAGTAATTACGGCATCTGATCCTTCCTCGTCCACATTTACTCCTATCAGAAAACACCTATATTACAAGCCAGTACCATACATAGTTATCCTTATAGATTATCAATCATCCCTTAGACAAACACACGAAAAGAAAAGAAGGAAGTGCTTAAATTTGTCTAAGACTCTCCTCACCTATATTCTCTATCAAATCATAAAACAAAATACACGGCAGATAAGCTTTATCCGATTTTCCATCAGGGAGTAGGAAAGGAAAAAGAATGGAATGAAGTAAAGCAAGTTATCAGAGACTCAAGTGTTCTCTTTGATGCCAATGGCATGCCATTAAACCAGATCTAGATCTTCTCCTTAGCAGTCAATTCATCTCAGCACTCGTGCTCTCTCCCACTTTTTTCATTCTATACCATTGTTTCTATTTGTTATAAACCTCACAAAAGCATATATAGCTTTGCTAACATGACATGATAACAGCATTGCATACGCTTTTATTAAAAATTCAGGCTTCTTTCTTTGTTCATTTTTGGCGGGGTCTTGAGCAGGCAAAGATTTACCTTGACCTCGGAAAAGGAACTAGACATAAGTATAACATTAAGATTATGAGATATAATAAGTTGAGAAGGAACACATAGCAGCGGAAAGATAAGTTGAAGCATTTGTACAGAAGCCATAACCACACACGGGTGTTCAATACTTTAGGAATTAAAGCAGAATAAAGGGAACAAAGTAAAAGAAAAAGTCAATTTTGTTATTCTCAAGCTATAATGGATTGTATATTGTCTCTAGATAGAAGATGAATGATGAAAAACACTAGGTGAAAGCCAATATAGCTGCACAAAATTAGAATGTTAAAAGCAAAATATAGCATGTGAGAAAGCGACAAGTTACCTGCTCAAAATATGGCACTGCCTCTGACGCTGGCCTATTGTTGTACGATATTATAATATTAGCCTTCATGAAAGACACATAAATGGATTCAGTAAGACATTCATTTCTTTGAACTAAGGGGTCGTTTGGTATATGGGATAAGGATAATAATCCCGGGATAGAGTTTGGGATTAACTTTATTCCATATTTGGTTTGGGATATTAGCTAATCCCGGGATAGCTTTTACACCAAAATGATGGGGTTATTATCCCATATAGAAGGTGGGATAACTAATCCCCATGGGATATCCCACCATTGTACCAAATGACTCCTAAAGGTTCAGAATTCTCTATGACTGCAGGTAAATGGAGGTAGACTGTAAGCCAAATATCAGAAGCCAAACCTTAGGTATCTTCTCACAAAAATAACTTCCTGTAAGTGCTTGAATAAGAGCACCATTACTGCAAAATCCACGGTACCGAAAAACAAAAAAGAAAAAAAGAAGACATCTTAGCCAGGTAAAACTATATTCACCTCTAGCACTTCAAAGTAAAAAGAGTTAAAATTAGTGAACGCTTTTGAAACAAGCCGATTAAGCAAATCTAACTCAGACTGAGCTACATTAATGGCACACGGAAAGAAGGATATTGAAGCCTTCACGTGAAAATCTATTTACTACTCCCTCCTTTTCAATTTATGTATAGTATTTCCTAAAAGTGTGTTCAAGAATGATATATTTCTAAATTTAGAAATAATTTTAACATTAAATTCCATTTTACTCCAAGTGAAATTTTTTATAGCCACACAAATGTTATGCATATTTAAGACGAGAAGTATCAAAATATTTTCTTGAAACTTGGTGCTGAGTCAAACTAATTACCGAGTAACCCATTATAAAATAACTAGCCTTTGAACCAAACTATTAGGAAACAACAATGGAGAAATAGAGTGATTCAACTCTAATTAATTACCTGTGGCCAACAGAGTAAAGTGGCAAATCAACAATGTCAGCAGCAGAAAGGCCAGAATCAGGCAACCCTGATGCTAAAATTGAACCAAAACAAGCATGAAATCTCTCGAAAACCTGTCTTGTGACTTGGGCATGATCAAATGTCACATTGTAAGGCACACATATTATCAAATACCCTTCTCTCGCCAAATTCTCAAGCAAATAACTGTTAACAAGAAAAACCCCAGAACAAAAAATCAATAAAAGATTAGAACTTTAATACCAATTCCAGAAACTACAACTTGTTTAACCTGTAAGAAACTTCAGGAACAGCTCCAATAAAAGCACCACCAACAAATTTGATTATAGCTTTGGGTTTTTTACCCTTTGGTGGAGGAATTACCAAACAAGAATCCATCCTTTTGTAAAACTTAGCAGTAGTGGCATTATTGTAATTATAACTTGTTCTTGGGGAGTTGAAATTTTCTGTACCCACATATTCATATTCATTTGAGAGAGTCATTTTAGGAAACTTAAAGAACTTTGGGTTCTTGAGATTTAGAGGAGAAAAGGGGTGGAATAAATCTGTACATTTACTTGGAAAAAAGGGTTTTTGTTTGATTTCATGAAGATTAGAAGTGAAAGTAGTAATGTAAGCTGCAGAAGTAGAAGCCATCTCTCTACTGTGAGAGTGCAGCAGTGAGGGAAAATGGAGAGTTGAGTATCTATTTAATTTGTGGAGTTGTGGAGGTTTTTATGTTACGTGGCATGATTTTAGTGATGTTTTGGAGATTCTTATTTTTCTTTTACCAAGCTATAGCAATGACAAATTGTGTACTAAAATTGTTTTAGTAGTAAATTTTATTTAACAAAATGGCATGAAGTATAGAGTCCTTCATTTCTAAGGCGGAAAAGGGCCTAAAGTACCTCAAGTATCAATTTGGTACAATAAAGTCCTCATTTCTCCTTTTTTAATAAAAAAGCATTTTTCGTTTAATTTTTAGCTCAATTATGCACTGATTTCTAACAGATTAAAAATTAATCCACGTGTTACATTTTTTTGGCTGAACTTAAAATCCAGCCCTAAACACTAAACTACCTGTAACTCGCCTCATTACCGACTGCCCCCTTTAATTCCTTTTAATCCAAAGAATCCATTCTTTAAAGATGCAACAACGTATTCGTCTTCGTCTTCTTCTTTTCATTAGGGTTCTCTAATGGGAAAATTTCACATAAGAATAATTGAGCTTCATACTTTTCAATTTTATAGCCCATATTTTAATTACAACCAACTAGCCCAAAATTAATAGGCTAAGATTCAACATCCAACTCCAATAGGTTCTAGAAATTATTATTTAATTTTTAAAAAAGATTGTTCAAACTTTTAAGTTAATTTTTGAATCAGTAAATGTGACTCAAATATTAGTTCAACCAACCAAATCCATTTGGATGGTGAAAATTAAATTTTTAACAAGCTTAAATATGTGGGTTTAAATTTCGAATTTGATTTTATGAGAAATTTGGAGTGGGTGTTATTTAGACTTGTTAGAAATAGTATAAGGAGGTTGTATATAAAATTTGAAGTCATTTAATGGAGATTTGGACTGGTTTTGAACAAGAATTGCAACAGAAAATAGTGGAAGAAGTTCGTCTACAGATGCTTGTATAAAGGTGCATAATAGTGTATAAGATGTGTTTATACACTCATATACATTATTATACAAGATTATACATAATTATACAAAAAAACTGACTTCATCTTCTTCCTTGCGTCTTTTCTAAAATTTAACTCAAATCTTGCTCAAATCTACTCCAAATCACTTCAAATTTAAATGGTTGTAAGAACACAAGTTTTGAATTTGCTAGTGCTTTCAAAATATGTACAATATGGGCTAGGTTGGGTAAAACTTAAAAACATAGGCCATTTTTTGTTATGGTGTGAAGTCATGTGTATTTTCTTGTAATTTTTTCTCCATATCCCATCTCCCATCTCCAGTTACTGAACTTTGTATTGATGAGAGACAAAGAATTGCTTCCGATGGTATTATAGTGGTCAGGTAAACTTCTTAAGCTTTTGATGCATGACATACTTGTCCACTGTGTGATACTGAACTTTGTAAGATATCTGTAATGTAGTACGAAAATATTACATCCTCAATCCACGGATGGTATGACAAACAAATCTTTGAAAGGAAAAATAAGAATCACCACACTGCTTGTGTCTTGATAAAGGGAAACTTCTGGATTCGCTTCATAAAGCGGCACATGCTGCATTGTCAAGTTGTCCACTGAGTTTCCCGTTGCCGCACATGGAAAGAACTGTGTCTGAAGTTCTAAGGAAAATGGCTCGGAAATACAGTAATAAAAAACCTAAGGTTATTGCCATTCCCTTTGAAAACCTGTGGGAGTCCTGGCTGATGAAATCAATGGAAAACTTTCTGGAAAATTACATGTTGGTTTGGGAAGTTCACCATTGAGAGAAGAAGAAGAAGAAGAAGAAGAAGAAGAAGAAGAAGAAGAAGAAGAAGAAGAAGAAGAAGAAGAAGAAGAAGAAGAAGTTGTGTCTTTAAAGAATGGATTCTTTGGGTTAAAATAAATTAAAGGGGGGTGTCACGACCCAACTTTCCCTTCGTTTGGGTATCGTGATGGCACCTAGTCTTAGGGACTAGGTAAGCCTAACATTTTCAGAATAACAACAATAATAGAAGAACATCTAACAATTTAAAAGGGAAATCTCCACAAAAATTTACAATTCCCAAAATCGGCTACAAGTCTAAGCTCTACACAGTTCGCTACCACTTCTAAATACAACTGTTTAGAAATAAGTAAAACAGTGTGAACACAAAATAGGAAGGTGACTCCAAAGCCTGCAAGCGCAGCAGCATGGTTACCTTGAGTCTCCTTGGCAAGAATCCGCACATCTACTAACGATCAATACCTGTATCTGTATAAAAAAATGTACAAAAGTGTAGTATGAGCACACCACAGATGTGCCCAGTAAGTATCAAGACTAACCTCGGTGGAGTAGTGACAAGGAACAACCAAGACACCCACTGGTCTAATAAACAAAACAAGTGTAAGTATGGGAACAATGGTGCATGGTTTCTACATGGAAGCTACGCAATGTGACTAACAATACAATAATTATAGTAAGAAAGGGAAGCGACAAGTATCAGCGGAATACTATAATAATGACACAGAAGAGTGAAAGAAACATAACCTAATTCCGAAACCACAGTTACAACAAAGACAAATAATAACTCAACAACTACGACAGCTTTTTCATTTGATTTTTACTCAACAACCTTCACGAAGTACCGAACCTCGGATAAATTACAATTCACGGGTCTCAATACCTGAACCCAACACTTGGCATCTTGTGCCCTCATCCCACCTCATAATCATGTTGATATCTCCCGGGCCAACCAGAACCACTCTCACATAGAAGGCAAGTAAACAAGGGTGTACATCTATACTCAACAATATCAAGAAAACCTCTTATCTGATAAGGGCGCTTAGCTACGTGTATGCTTGTGCAAGTGTTCTAACATAGTTCATACTAGCTAGTAAGCATAAGGAAAAGAACGGGCAACACGTAGAATAACAGAGATAAAGTAAATGAAAAAAATAGCTCATAACACAGTAATAACAATAGGGAATCTCCTGAGATACTGTCTCGTAGTCCCAAACGTAAATGTTCAGGGGGATCTCCCAGACTACCGTCCCATAGTACCAAAGTAAATATGCAGAACAAGGGGATCTCCCGGAATACCGTTTCGTAGTCCCAAAGTAAATATGTAGGGGGATCTCCCGGAATACCGTTCCGTAGTCCCAAAGTAAGTATGCAGGGAAGGGGGATCTCCCGGAATACCGTTCTATAGTCCCAAAGTACATATACAGCGCCACCAATAGATATAACAGTTACAGCACGACAGAAACCTCGTACATCACCACAACAAGTACAACAGCAACAATGACAATAATATAAAGTACGGTGAGTAATCAACTCAAGAACTTTAAATCACAAAGAAACGGTAGAATCAGTTCACAAGGAATAACCAAAGTAAAGAATGTTAGGCATAAAGGGAACAGTTCAACAAGGGAAAACTAATATGTAGCAACGACCCCACAATATACAAGTCAACAATAAGGAAGCCAACACGAGTCAAATAGTTCCAAATAAAGGCAAGTCAACTAAGATATAGGTTATCTCAACTCCTTTTATGGTTGAGCGATTGCGAAGGATATTCAACAATTCAAATAATGTTAAGTAGCAGAAGATAATCATAACTTCAATTAAGACTAAACAATTATAGGATGAGATAATAATAATTTCAATTAAAGATAAGCAGTTATGGAAAGATAGCATGACGATAGAAGAGGCAAAATCTTCAGTTAAGTCAAAGAAGAGACAAATAGGCAATAAGAGTGAATCCTAAAGCAATAAATTCTAATTAAAGCATGTAGAAGTGAAACTAGCAAATAGGAACTCAAACGTATCAGGAAAAACTTCTTACATAGTAAATATAAGGACCTACAAACCCTAAAGGCCAACTTTCCACAAATAAGTTCGAGCACGCACTCGTCACCTCGCGTACACGAACTACAATCAACATAAAAGACTCAAATCCTAAGGGAAAATCCCACACACAAGGTTAGGCAAGATACTTGCCTCAAAGAAGGCAGACCGATGCTCTAAAATACACTTCTCGGGTGAAAAGACCTCCGGACGGTTCAAATCCAACCAAAACAACTTGAAGTCACAAATAAAACTCATAAGAAACTATTCCGGATCATAAAGTCTTAATCTTTAACAAAATCCAAAAATCGGTCCAAAAGTCGACCCTCGACCCGCACCTCTGAACCCGACGAATTTCACAAAAACCGAATATTCATTCTGATACGTGTTCAACCCTACAAAATTATCAAATTCTGATACCATTTCGTCCCTCAAATCATGATTTTTTATTTTGAAAACTTTCTTCAAAAACCAATATTTTCCTCAACTCAAAACACAAATTAAATGATAAAAGTGAATATAAAATTATGGAATATATTATATACTAGGTGAAGAAAACTTACCGAATCGATTTGCTTAAAAAAAACCCAAAAAGAAGCTCCCAAAATCGAAGTCTAAAACTCCAAATATGAAGAAAATTGCCAAACCCTCAATTTAATGATTCTGCCTAGCACTTCCACATAAGCGCATCTGCGCTATCGCATTTGCGGGCAGACGTTCGCATTTGCGGCAGACGTTCGCATTTGCGGGCAGACGTTCGCATTTGCGAACTTGACTTATAGGCCTAGGTCTGCATCTGCAGACAATATAGCCACATCAATGGCGTCACAGAAGCGATAACAAGAGAGCAGAAGCGGGCTCCTTCGCAGATGCGATAGATCAATCACAGAAGCGGTTACGCACCTGCGTTCCAGCATTCGCAGAAGCGAGCTAGCTTCCAGGCCACAAAGATCGTAGACGCGATCAGGCTCATGCACGGAGCCGCACCTGTGCTCCAAAGTCGCAGGTGCAAAAACACCAGAATCAGTCATGTTCAAAACCATGCAAAACATCTGAAACTCGTCCAAAACGGGTTACGAGACCCCCCGGACCCCGTCTAAACACACAAACAAGTTCTATAACTTAACACGAACTCGCTCGAGGTCTCAAATTACATCAAACAATGCCAGAAATGAAAATCGCGCCATGAATAGAAC